TCCCTCTGTTAATTATCTCCATTTTACCCTGTACGAAGCTTGTTTGTACATCATTGTATGCTTTCTTTCCCATTACGTTGTAAGCTCTTCAAGGGCAAGGACTATGTTTTGCCTCTTTTCCTATCTCTAGTGTTTAGCACGGTGCCTGGCATATAGTAGGTGCTTTATGAATGCTTATTTGCTGACTGGAAGTTGCCTACTCCCTTGTGTTCCTGATTCTCTGTATGACGTGGTTGATGTGGGTGGGGAGAGGAGAGAAAATGCATTCCTCCTCCCCATTCTCACTGTCTGCCCTCTGGTTAATATGACTTTGGATCTGGTGCATTTACAAAAATTTCTTTTCATTGGTGGAAAGAATGATTCCTTAGAGTTCATCTATATCAATCTACCTATCTATTCTGTAGGTATTACACAATGAAACATTAACCAAATAGTCTATATATTGCCTCTGTGACTTCGAATACACTTGTCCCTATGAAAGGAATGCACTCCTTCTTCTTTGTCTCTGCCTATTGAAATCTTACACATTGAAATAGTTAACTAAGGGGAAAAATCTTCACAGCAAGTTTCTCAATAAGAAATTGATTCAAATGTATAAGAACAAGAGATATTCTTCAGTTGGAAAATGGTCAAAGTGTATAGAAAGGAAGTTCTGAAAGGAAGAAATCATAGATAAGAAAAGATCATATAAAATGTTCTAAATCACTAATATGAAGAGAAATGCAAATTAAAGCAACTGTGAGGTTCCATCTCCCACCCATTATCCTGGCAAATTTGATCAAAAAAAAAAAAAAAGGAAAATGACAATTGCTAGGAGTGTGGGAGGCTAGGCACATTGACACATTGTTGGTGGACCTGTGTATTGGTTTAGGAATTATGGAAAGCAATTTAGAACTATGCCTTTAAAGTTACTTAACTGGATACATATCCTTTGTAACTCAAAGTTACTAAAAGGATAAACACATATCCTTTGATGTATTGCAACCACTACTAGACCTATGCCCCAAAGAGAACAAAGAAAGAGGAAAAGAACCCATATGCACAAGAATATTTAAGGCTGGGTTTTTGTGTTTTTAGTCATTGCAAAGGCTAGAAATTAAAAGAGTGCCTGTCATATAAAAAATAATCAAGCAGATTATAGTATACGAAGGTAATGGAATATTATTTTTCTGTAAGAAATGATAAAGGTGATGGTTTCAGAGAAACCTGGGAAGACTTGTATAAACTGAGGCAAAGTGAAATGAGCAGAACCAGGAGAACAATTACAAAGAATAACTTTGTAGAGATAAATGATTTCGAAAACTTTAAGAATTCTGATCAGTGCAATGACCAGCCAGAGGATGGTGTGATGACATGATTATGATGACAAATGCTACCCGCATTTCCTCACACAGAAGTGATGGACTCAAGATGCAGAATAGGACACCTCTGGACATGGCCAGTGTGGTCATTTGTACTGCTCGACTCTGCATATTTGTTGTAAGGGTTTTGTTCAGTGGGGAAGAGCAAGAGGGAGAATGGAAGGAAGTGCTGGGAACAGGGGTGCCCCAGAAAAGGAGAAAAAAAATAAAAGAAGGAAAAGATGATTGTTGAAGCGTTTTTAAAAACCATACAAAGAGAACAGAAGAAATTTCAGAAGGAAACACAAGCAGGACAGCTTTGAAAGTTACATGTTGAATTCATCATAGACTTAAAGAAGAAAAGCAAGCATTAGATAATAGAACCTTGTGGTTTCATGTACTTTTTTATGTGCTTTTTTCCTGTTCTGGTACCCATATGAATTTCCTCATTTTATTTGGAGTTTAAATTAAAATTATGTTAATTAAATCAAATAATCATTTAAATAAAACTTATTTAAATGAAATTATTTATTTGAACAAAATTTATTTAAATTAAAATTTTTTAAAAATGTTAAAAAAAAGAAATCCGACCAACTTTCAGGGCCCAACTCCATGTCACCTCCTCCATGAAGCCTTCTCAAGCCTCCCATCCCTTCCTCACAACCTCACTCTCCTTTGCACTCCAGTGGATTAGAATGGAAAAGCATTTATTAAGAGCTTACCACGTGTAAAGTTTTGTGCTAAGTATACAAAGAGTAAAAGAGTCCCTGCTCTCAAGGGGTGCACATTTGTTTTTGTTTGTTTTGTTTTTATTTGGCTAGGCAATGGGGTTAAGTGACTTGCCCAGGGTCACACAGCTAGTAAGTGTTATGTGTCTGAGGTCGGATTTGAAGTCAGCTCCTCCTGAATCCAGGGCGGGTGCCCTATCCACTGCGCCACCTAGCTGCCCCAAGGAATTCACATTTAAAATTCAAGGAACCTTCACTTCTAAGAGGTTTCACTGAAAGACAGATAGGAAGACCTGGGGTTCCTTTCTTGGTGCAGCAACTAGGCAGATCACATTAGCCAGTCAGAGGGCCAGAGGGCAGAGCAGTATTGCCCAATGGTCCACCATTGTACCTGAAGGCAAGCTAGTTGGTGCATCCCCGCTCAACCTTCAACTAGGAGCAGCCATATCTCCCCCCACCAACTGTCTATGACATGTCTGTGTTCTTGATCTTAGAGACCTTGATCACATTCTGCTTATACTGAATTTTTTTTGTATCTAGTCTTACCTGCCCTGCTCAATTTCAAGTTCTTATGATCTTTGCATGCCTCCTGCCTAAAGATTCCTTGGAGATCATTTAGTATAATCCCCTCATTTTACAGAAGGGGAAAATGAGCTCACACTTGCTGAGGCAGTTTGTTGTAATAGATGTTCAATCATTTTTTGGTCATTTTCTCTCTTTGTGACCCCATTTGGGGTTTTCTTGGCAAAGATACTGGAGCAGTTTGCCATTTCCTTCTCCAGCTCATTTTACAGATAAGGAAACTGAGGCAAATAAGGTGAAGTGACTTGCCCAGGGTCACACAGCTAGGAAGTGTCTGAGGCTGGATTTGAACTCAGAAGATGAGGCTTCCTGACTGCAGGCCTGGCGTTCTGTCTATTGTGACACCTAGCTGCTGTCATTATAGACAGCATGGGAAAACCACGTCGGAATCCCACCTCAGCTAGTCACGGTGTGATCCTGGATGAGTGACCTAACCTCCCTGAGCCTCAGTTTCTTCATCTGTAAAATGAGGATTAACTGTTAGACCTACTACAGTGCTATGGTGATGATCAGATGAGATGCTGTGCAATGCTGTCTAAATGCCAGTTACTGATACTATTGCTAGGTCATGTGATAGGTTAGGAGACTGGGCTGCCTCCCCTAGATAGGCCCAGTCTTCCTGACTTGAAGAAGGGGGCTGCCAGGAGGAGGGCTCTCAAAGCTTCATTAAGCTAACGAGCCAATCAATCAACGAGCATTTATTAAACCCCTACTGTGTGTCAGGCGCAGTGCCAAGCACTGAATCTTGTCCAAGGTTAGCCTGGAGGAAATTAGCTGTTCCCAGGCTTTGTGTCATCCTCCCAGAGCCCTGTGCTCACGCCCGTGAAGACCTGTGATTGGAGGATCACAGACCTTGAGCTGAAAGGATTCTCAGAAGCCATTGGGGAAACTGAGGCCCAGGGAGGTTAAGTGACCTAAGATCATAGATTGAGAGCTGGAAGGCATGTCAGATGCCCTCATTTTTACAGAAAAGGAAACTTAAGGGCAGGGAATTTAAGTGACTTGCCCAGGGTCACACAGATAGTAAGTAAAAGAGGCAAAATTTGAATCCAGGGCCTCAAACTCTCTCAATCCAGTGTGATTCCCATCACTTTGATGCCTGTCAGTATCTTCTCCTTATCTCAGAACACCTTCTTATTATCCTATGTTGGGGGTGGGGTAGAAAAGCAAGCTATACTATTTCCCTTACATAAGGCAGGGGCACCCAGAGACCACTCCCCCTCTGGCCTCCATGACCTTGGGCTCTGGGCAGTCTAGGGAGTTAGGATGCACTGCAGCTCCAAGGCATACGAACTATCCTCTCCAACGATAGTCAATAAACATTTATTAAGCACCTGCTATGTGCCAGACCCTGCTGGGAATACAAATAAGAAAAAGACAGTCCCTGCCCTCCAGGAGCTTATAGTCTAAAGGTTGGGGAGACAATACACAGAAGAAAACTGAAGGGCAGGGGGAAGGGGAGACGGGGGAGCCAGCATGATGTTTCAGACTATGGAGGGTGTTGACGAGGTGTGGAGTATGCCGGCAGAATCAACCTCCATGAGCTTATCCTGGAGGAACTGAATTATGATGTTCCTGGAATGCCCCCCCAAGCCCCACCCTTTGGTAATGTTCTGCTTCCCACATCCACCTGCATTTCTTAGAAAGCTAAGAACCCATCTGGCTAATTCTCCTGTTAAAATGCCCTTTGTAGTCCCATTTGAAGGATGGAAAAACCAAGGCTGGGAAGAGGTTTGCCCCAGTGATGGCCATGCCTAGAATCGGGGGTCTCAGTCCAGAAGAAAAGCCAAACATTCCCCTGCTTATAATCTGTCTGAAGGCCAGTCACTAAGGTCATCCAGGGGTCAAACCCTGTACCACAGGGTACAGTGAGCAGTCAGAGGGCTGAAGTTCAGAGCTGTGTGCCCTGTAGGGCTACTTCCCTTCTCTGGACCTCAGTTTCCTCATCTGTAAAATAAAGTTGGGCTGGATGATCTCTAGGGGATCTGATGGTTTAACATTCTGAGCTCCCAAGCCTGTGATCATTAATATCAGCTCCCATTTCCTCAACACCAAATACTTTATCTTATCCTCAATTTCCCAATGGAGAGAATACTTCCACCCACAACATGATTAAGCACCTCCTAGGTGCCACTGGGTATCTGAAGACAAAAGAGGAAATAATTCCCGCCTGAAAGGAGCTTAGGTTCTCCGTGGAAGGTGGGAGGCATCGGGAGAAGTCATTATGTATGCAGAGAAGCAAATACAAAACAAATTTAAAGTCATATCTGACAGGGCAAGGAGGGCATCAGCCACCGGAGGGATCAGGGCCGGCCCCTCTCTAGGAGGAGTCAGGTGCTGAGCCCAGAAGGGAGCTGGAGATGCCAAGGCGTGGAGGGGAGCAGGTTCTTGGGGATAAATGCTCGGTAAGGTGCCACAGAAATGGGAGCGATCAACGCCCGGAGTCAGAGCCAGCTGGTGACTCGAGAGATGGAGCACTAGGCCTGGAGTCAGGAAGCCCTGAGTCCGAATTCGACGTCAGACACTTACTATAGCTGGGTGACTCTGGGCGGGTCACTTAACCTCTGTTCCCCTCCGCTAATAATAGCGCCTACCTCGCCAGGTTGTCGTGGGGATTGAAGGAGATAATATACAGTAGCCGGCACGTGGGAGGCGCGCGATATTTAGTCCCTTCCCCACGATCCCTATATTACAGGTGAGGAAACTGAGGCACAGTACCTGACAAGGGACTTCCGGAGCTGGATCTCCCTCAGCTTGAGCAGGAGGCTGCCTCACTTTAGCACCTGTGTGCCCAGCCCCTAGCACGAGAACCCAGCACTGAGTGCTTGTCGACTGACATGAATTAATAAGCAAGGCTTGGCTTGGATCGGACTGGGCCAGTGGTAGGTGGAATGGGTGATCTCTCGGGAGGTCCGCTCCTCCCGACTCTGGGACCTGGGCCCGGATGGAGCGAAGGGGAAGGAGTCCCCGGATCCCACGGAGCCCGTGAGGCAGCTTTCGGCCGCCGTGGCTTTGGCCGATGGAGCGGGGTGGGAGGGCGCCCCCAAGCCCGCAGGCGAATGAGCTGACTGCGCTCTCCAGACCAACTTCGGGGCGGGCTCAGGGCCATCACTGGGCACATGCCCCAGGCTGGGGTGCGCGTGTGGGTGCGTGTGTGTGCATGTGTGCGTGCGTGGGGTGGGCGTGGGGGGAAGAAGGGGTGGGGCGGTGAATCATGCCCTGGGCCCCTGCCCCGCCCCAGCCGCTCTTAGGGCTCGGGTCAGCCCTGGCTCCTCCTTTAAGAAGCTGGTTCGGCCCTGGCCCTGGCCCCTGCCCCGCCCCTCTCCGCCCTCAGGGAGCTCCAGCAGACCGCGGACACTCAGGCAGAGGGACAGACGGGTGGACGGACGGCCTCCGAGCCCGGGGGCTCAGGGAGTCACCCGCCCACAGACAGCTGGACGGACAGACAGACTTGGATTCAGGCTCCGAGGGGTCAGTAGGTCCGCTGGGGGCGGGTGGGGGGCCACAGGCTCCGCAGGGTGGCGGCTTGGTGGCCCGAGCGGAGCCCTGGAGACCCTGGGCAGGACTGGCACGTCTCGGCCAGGAATCCTGCTGGTTCTGCTCTTGGTCGTCTAGTAGCAACTGCAGCTTGGGCTGGGCAGCGCCCCGGGGACCCCTCCCTCCCCCGCCCTCCATCTCCGCTTCTCAACTCCGGGCACCGAGCCTGCCTCTGGCTGGCTGGCCCAGGATCTCGCGCTCGCTCCCGAGCCTCCCCCTCTGCTCTGTGTCCGCAGGGAGAGAGGGCCAGCAGCCTCCCCTTCGTGCCTCTGTTTCCTCTTCTGTAGAATGGGGCGAAGGGAGGGCAGAGAAGAGATGTATGCCACAGAGATGAGTTGGACTGCTGGTCATTAAGGTTCCTCCCAGCTTTAGGTCCTCCTCATCCGTGTTCTAATACACCACCCCCTTGGGCCCTCGGTTCTGTGACTCTCCTTCCCCCGCCATTCTCTCCCCACCCCCACCCCCAGCTCTGACTCTCTAGGTTCTGAAAGCTCCTTCCTTCCCAGAGCTGACTCTCCAGGTTCTAAGACACCTGCCTGACTCTCTATATCTCAAGTCCCCCTCCCCTCTGCATTCTAAGACCTCACGTCCCAGCTCTAAATGTCTAAGACGCCTTCCTTCCTCTCCCCTCAATCGCTCTTACAATGGGAAGTGTACTGGCTCCGGAGTCAGAAGTCCTGGGTTCAAATCCCAAGTCTGAGGGTCCTTCCAGACCTAAATCTGTGTCCCTGTGACTAGCGTCTCCCTCATTTCTGACATTCTGTGATCAGTTGCGGTAATCTGTGACCTGCTTTGTAATCTTTATGTTCGAAAGTCCCTCCCAGCTCTGATGTTTTGTATTCTAAAGTATTTTGCAGCTCTGAAGTTCTGGATACTATTGTAGCTTCCAGCTTTCACCCTCTGTTCGAATATTCTTCCTAGTGTTGACCTCCTGTGTCCCAGCCCTGACCATTTGAGTGTGTGAGCTGGAGAAGGAAAGCTGGGGGAAAGCGGAGGCTGTCACTGGCCACATACCATCCAAAAGCCCCCTTTAGAGCTGGGGTGGAGGGCTCTCAGGTGCCTGGCTTCTCTTCTGGGGGTGGGTGGGATGGATTATGAATAGTGAGATCCAAGCAGTCCTGGAATGCAGCCCCCAAACACTTGGTTCCTGTTACAGGCATCTGGTCCAGCCTGAGCATCGTTCTCCTCTTCAGGTGCCTCTGATGGAGATGTGATTGTGTTCCTGCTCGCAGCCTAGGAAGAAGGCTTCTTTGAACTCCTGCCCCAGCCCAGCCTTCCTGGACTGGCCATGGTTGGTCCCTTGATAAGTATATATTCCCCCATGCTGTTGAATCCTTCCTGCAACCCTGTCTCTCTTGGGTTTAAAAGCCAGCATGGTTTAGGTAAGGGGGCAGAGACAAGGCTGGAGATAACAGTAAGGTTTGGAACTAGGACTCTGGAGGTGATTTGCTCACTGCCAGAGGGATACTCACTCTCCCCAGGCTTGATTAATTGTATCCCAGGTTGCTCGCTATAGGGAAAAGTGGCCCTTTGTATCCAAAAACACCGACGGTTTTACAGAGCCATGGATCAGAGGTGAGGGATAGCATGGCAGAATGCCCACAGGCCTGGGTTCAAATCCCACCTCAGACACTAACTGTGTGACCCTGGGCAAGTTGTTGAATTTCTCTGGGCCTCAGTTTCTTCCTATGCAAAATGAGGCAGCTGGGCCAGATGGTCTCTGAGGTCTCTGCCAGCACTAGAGTTAGTGCCTGAGTTATTGGCCTCAGTTTCCTCTATATGTCAAATGAGAATAAGGATCCTCACTTCACCTGCATCCCAGGGGCATTGTGAGGACAGAACTTCATAAGCCTCAGCGAAGTAAAGAAGGGTGAATTATTGTTAAGAAGGAAGCTGTGTGTAACCCCAGGACACTGGCTTGAGAGCCAAAAGGCCATTTTGTCCAGGCCCCTCATTTTCAGAGGAGGAGACTGAGGTCCAGGGAAATCCAGCGATTTGGCCAAGGTCCTTCAGCCCAGAGAATCGAGGGATTTACCCGAATGGTAGAATTAGAACCCAAGTTCTCTGAATCCAGAGCTGGGGCTCTCTTCTGCTGTCAAGGAATTTGGTCTAGTTGGGGAGAGAGATTCATATTCCAATTCTTTTTTTTTTTAAAAATGGATTTCTGTTTTGTATACTTATCTTAACAACTCTTACCACAAACATCAAAACATACGAAGGAGAACCAAAGAAAGAATTATTTATGAAGCAGGCACATTATGAGTCAAGCACTTCTATTACATAGTTTTTGTAATATAAATGTAAATATAATCAAGTCAGGTAGTAACAAAGTTTACCTATTTGTTAGTTTCTGCTTCAAAACTTCCTTTACTTTCTTCTCACGGCAACAAATTAACAGACCAATTCTCCACCACCCCCACCCCCACCCCATAGGCGTCCTCAGCTCCTCCAGTCCAAGCTGGATTTCTGGTGGACCTGGGGCTGATGGGAAAGGGCAAAGAGGGGAAAATTTGCCTGTTTATAATCCCCGGAAGAGCAGCCAATCCCCATGCAGAACTGTCCTCAGGAATTCTCTTACCTGGGACAAAGGGAAGTTTGGGGATTTTTTGGGGGGGGGGATAAGTGGGGAGGGGAAGGACAATATGACAGTGAAAGCCATTGGGCTGGGGTGGGGATGACCCATGCCCCAAGTCCTACCTGGAGTTGGGGGTGAAAGCTGGCACTGGGGGGAGAGGTAGCAGGGTGTGAGGACCCTGGGGAGGGGGGCAGGTGAGAAAAGAGAATCACGAGGATGGCAGTGGAGGAAGGTGGTGGGGCAGAGTCCTGATGACCTTACCCTAGGTACACCGCCCGCTCTGTTCTCACTAGCCTCACCTGCTGCTGATGCCATAGGAGTGAGAGTCTCAAACCAAAAGGTGTCGGGGAGGGGAGAGAGCATTGGACTACGAACCAGGAGTCGAGAGGCCCCCTACTTTCCCACCTCTCATTTGTAGTCTGGCTTCTGACCTCGTCATCTCCCCCCAAACTGCTGTCTGCCAAGTGGCCCCTGATCTCTTGGTTGCCAGATCCAACGGCCTTTTCTTCAGGCTCCCGCTCCCTGACCTCTCTGCAGCCTGGGGTGCTGCTGATTACCCGCTTCTTCATCTCTCTAGGTCTTCTCCTACCCCTCTGACCGCTCCTTCTCGGTGTGCTCGGCAGGACCTTAGACAAGGGCACAGCTGCATTATAATTGTGGGTGGCCCAGTGGCCCTCCGGACTCTCTGTCTTTGCAACACCTCTCCTCCACGTCCCCTCCTCCCCACTGACCCAGCTGCCACCCCAGGCCAAGCCCTCATCACCTCTCACCTGGGCTGGTACAATACATTGTCTCTGTGCCTCCCTCCCTCCCTCCTTGCCTCAAGTCCCTCCTCACTCCAGTCATCCTCCATGCAGCTGACAGGGATCTTCCCAAAGCAGGGGTGAGTCATGTCTTCCATCACCCCCAGCACACACACACACTCTTTCTGTCTCTGTCTCTCGGTTTCTGTCTCTGTCTCTCTCTCCCCCCTCTCTCTCTGTCTCTGTCTCTCTCTGTCTCCCCTCTCTCTTTCTCTGTCTGTCTGTCTGTCTCTCTCAATCAGTCAAATTCCAGGTGTTCACTAATCACTTCCAAGATCAAACATCAACACTCTCCTGGTTGCCATGTAAGGCCCTTCCTACTTTTCCCATCTTCTCTAGCTTTGCTCCCTCCCCATGCCTTCCAGGTCAGCCACACTGACCTCCTTGCTGTCCCATAAACACGTCTCTCTAAGCTCAGACTCTCTCCACCACTGCCCTGATGGCTGGACAGGCCCTTCTGTTCAGCTGCCTTTCTTTCTCTGTCCTTTCTCAGTGGGTAGAGGTATGGGCCTCCCAACCAGGCAGGGCCTTCTGCTGAAAAGACCAGGAGTCAGAGGTCATGGCTTTGCGTCCCAGGTCTGCCCCTCTTTGGTGACCTTGGGGAAGTTATGGTATCTACCTGGGCCTCAGTTTCCTTCTCTGTAAAATGAAGGGGTTGGATGGGATCATCTTGAGGCCTCCTCCAGCCGTCATGGAAGACCTGTCTACCTGTCCCAGCATTCTTGATTGTTTCCTGTGGGAAGGGACACCTTCCCAGTTAAAGGGGTTGCTCTGAAAGGGCAGGGACCCTATCTTCTCCTCCTTCTGCACAATGATGATGCTAAGTACAGCTCACACCTATATCGTGCTATTAATAGACCCCTTATTGTATATGATCCCATTGGCTCCTCACAAAAACCCAGGAAGGTCAGGGGTAAAAAAGCTATTATTCCCATTTTACAGAGCAGGAAACTAGCTCAAAGAAATGTACTGACTTTCCCCAGGTCACGCAGCAGAGAACTGAAACCAGGTCTTCTGGCTCCAAGGCCAGACCTCTTTCCCCAGTGCCCGATGAAGTCTTGGTGATGGATAGGAGTAAGTTAATTTCTCTGAGGGCAGTGGCTTTGGATTGGGCCAAGGTCAGTGGTGCCTTGGTCACGGAATCACAGTCTCAAAGTCAGGCAGAAGCCCTGGCGGAGGTCCCCTAGGCCAGCCTGTCCCCTCTGCTGCCCCAGGAGGGGAGGCCCCTAGAACGTTCCTGGCACGCTTGGCCAGTGAGGAGCTCGCCATACCCCATGACAGCCCATACTCACCAGGTAGCAGAAGGGCTTGGTACAAAGGGAGCAGGAGAGGACCAGGATTTGATAGAGCTCTCTGGTCCAGGGTTCTCACCAGCTCTCACCTTCTGTGTTCCGAGGTTCCTCCCAGCTCCAGCACTCTCTGGTCCAGGGTTCTCACCAGCTCTCACCTGTGTTCTAAGGTTCCTCCCAGTTCTAGCACTCTCTGGTCCAGGGGTTCCTTCTAGCTCTGGCATCCTAGAAGTCTGGTCTGTTCATCACTTGTCTAGATTATCTCTAGGAAATAGGGATATTTCTCACCAACCTCTGGTTCTACGTCCACTGCTGAGGGAGGTCCTGATTGACTGACCCCAGGGGCAGTGTAGACAGTGGGAAGGGCAGGCAGGTAGCAATCACAGTGTTGGCCTTTGGATCCTGGGTCTGCTCTTTACCTGGGTGGACTTGGAGAGGTCCTGATTCCTAGAAGAAGCTGGGTTGGGACGAGGTGCCCTCCATCCTGAGGCCTGGCATGCCCAGTGTTCCGGTCTGGGCTCTCCTTCCCCCGCCAGGCACGTCCACACATTGTGTTCAGGTCCGGGACCGCGGAGAGACTTTCTCCATCTCTCCCAGGACAATGCCACATTCTGGGGAGAGGATGTGGCAAAGAGCTACCCGTGACTCACCCGTGCCAGCGCACTGGCTGACTCTTAATCACTTTTCCCCTCTTGGACTTTGTTAAAAGGCATTCCTGAAGCCCCGAAGTCTCCCCCAGGGACCCTGGCCCAGCCAGGCAGCATTCTGGGATCTGGGTTTTTCAGCCTGCTCTCTTAGAAGTGGGGAGTGTGGCCTGGGCAAACTGGGTGGGGCTCTGCCCTCTGCCCCAGATTTTTGTTGCATTCCAGGCCTAGAAGCTGTGACATTTGGGGTCTTGGGGTGGGGGGGCTTGGCAGGGAGGCTTCTGTCCTCAGCTTGGCTGAGAGATTTTCTCAAGCAAAGAAACGGCCGGGGGGTAATCTGGGGAAGAAGCTGGGAGCTAATCTCCTCACCCATGGTAGGCCCCAACAACCTCAGGGCCTACATGTAGAAAATTAGATTTTGTTTTATGTTCTTTTGGGCCCTACAAGGAGGGAGCTTTCTTGTTGTCCCTCACTTCTGGAGGTTTCTCCCGACTTGAAAACTTACTGGGGAGGGGGGCAATGCTAGAGAATGAAGGTGAGTCCCTGGCCAAGTAAGGGAAACTGAGTCCCAAAGCAGCGAGGGACTCAGGGACAGGCAGAGCTGGGAGAAATCTGAGTGTAGCATCTCCCAGTCACAAGCAAAGCTGGCCTTCAGAGAGGCCTGTGTGGGGTCAGCAGGCTTTGCTTCTTCCAGCTGTGTGACCTTAAGCAAGTTCCTAAACCTTTCTGGGCCTCAGTTTTTCCCATCTGTAAAAGAAGGGGTTTGGACAGGATTGGGATTCTTAACCTGAGATCCAAATCTACAGCTGGATACTGGCCACATGAATAGTCTATACTGTTGAGGCCAGGGAGGCCTTGGAATCTGGGTCCTTGAATTTGGTTGGAAAAAAAAAAAAGCACACCTTTTTTTTTCTTGCTAAACTCTAACTGAAATTTAGCATTTCCTTCAATTACATAAAACCGTTATTCCAAGCAAGGATCACTAGGCTTCCACAGACTGTGGTCATAGGGGCCCAGGACACCAGCAAGATTAAGAAGCCATGGGAACAAACATTTATTAAATGTCTATTCTATAGACCCATACCTGGAAATGTCCTCTCATCTAATCCCATTGTGGCGTGTGTGTGTGTGTGTGTGTGTGTGTGTGTGTGTGTATGTGTGTGTTGGCATTTATTTAGTCCTTACTATGTGCCAAGCACTGTGCTAAGTAAAAGGAATTCAGTGGCAAAAATGAAATAATTCCTGCTTTCAGGGAGCTTCCATTCTGGTTGGAGGAAGCAACTGGTATCTTTCAGAGAACAGGGCCATACCCAAGGCCACCCAGCACAATGCCAACAGAGGCAGGTCCAGGGCCTAGTGCCCTGCCTCCGAGGGTCAGGATCTCCCCACTAAGCTCCCCTAGATGAGATGCTCCTCTATGCAAGGTCCATGGAAGCTGGGAGGGGAGAAGATGCTGATACTGAAGATGAACTCGGCAAGGAGGAGGGTAGCCCAGGGCAAGGGGGGCCTCTTGGGCCAAGCAAAGTCGCTAGACAAAAGTTAGGATTTAGAGGTAGAAGCAACCTTGGAGATCACCCTCACCCCATTGTACAGATGGAAAAAATGAGGTCCCAAGGTGGGATGAGGCTTGTTCTACTACTGGGTTACCTTGGACTGAGATTAGAACCCAGGTCCCCAGACTCTTTTCACTGAACTGAGGCTACCTCTCTTGGTGATCAAAGGAGATAGCATAGATTTAAGGTCAATGAGCATTTATTAAACATCTACTATGTGTCAGGTATTCAGTCATTTTTCAGTCACGTCCAACTTTTCATGGAGTTTTTGGGGAGTGGTTTGCCGTTTCCTTTTTTAGCTCATTTTACAGATGGAGAAACTGAGGCAAACAGGGGTTAAGTGACTTGTTCAGGATCACCCAGCCAGTAAATGTCTGAGGCTGGATTTGAACTCTGGAAAATAAGTCTCCCTGATTCTGGGCCTGGGGCTCTGTGCACTAAGGCGCCCCCTAGCAGCCCGTGTCAGTCAACACCAGCTGTTGTTATTTTTGACAACACCATTAGGCTTTCCCCATATTTCATCTTGATTCAACCGCTCTTCCTTCAATGAACCAGTATTTATTAAGCACTTACTATGTGTCTGGGGATGCAAAGATAAAAACAGAATGCCCCCTGCCCTCAGGGAGCGTCCACTCTACCATGAGAAGCAGTGTGATAAAGTGGAAAGAGGACTAGACTTGGAGTCAGGAGGGTTCTGGGTTTGAATCCTGCTGCTCTTGGAGCCTCAGTTTATTCATTGGTAAAGTGGGGGGTGGTCTTGCCCTGGTCTAGAGCAGCCAGGAGGCTGACAGGCCTCTCTGAGCACCTGCCAGGCTCAGGGGTTCTGGGACACCCACTTCACTCCCTTCCAATGGACCTTGGTGCCAATAGGAATGACAATTCAGTATAAGCCCAAGGGCTGGTGATGAGACTCCCTGCGCCTTCTATAATTGGTGCCTCATTCAAGAGGGCCTTCAAGGCCTCCTGGTCACCCCTGGGGAGCCGCCAGACAATTATCCTCCCCTCCCCCACCCATCATGGCACCTCCGATTTATTCTCTTCTTTCTGCGTGTTTATATGCAAGTTTTCTACTCTTCTGGGCTGTTTCCCATTCATTCTGTCTTCACCATTCGTGTGTGCTTTCTCAAAGAGAGGGTGGGTATCTTGCCCAACATCCTATAGAAGGAGGTGAGCGTTCAGTCTTATCTTTGATTGGCACTGGAGTCAGAGGACCTAGGTGCGAATCTTGCCTCCACCTGTGTGACCTTGTGTGAATCACTTAACATCCCCAGACCTCAGTTTTCCTCATCTGTAAAATGGGGATGTTAGACTCCATGATCCCTGATGTCTCGTCCGGTTCCATGGGCCCCCTCAGCCCTGCCAGATTGTCCTTCATGTTGCCCGTCTTCTCTCTCTTTCTCTGTGTTCAGACCTGTGACAGAAGGGTGGCCTCATCTTTCCGTTACGGAGTGACCATCACTGGGGCGGTGGTCCTGGTCACTGGGACGCTCTGCTTTGCCTGGTGGAGTGATGGGGACATGGAGCCCTCTCTGAGCCCCGGGACGAAAGCTTCTCTCCCTGGGAAGGCAGCCCCCCTGGCTGGCACCCCAGCCCCCACGACTGCACCCCCGAGTGCCCTGCTGAGGTCGGTCAGCTTCTTCTGTTGCGGCGTCGGGGGGATGCTCCTTCTCTGGGGCCTGCTCTGGTCAGCCAAGGCCAACGTCCGGGCAGCCCCAAGACACTACCACAGCCGTCTCCCCAGGGACCTGGGCTACTTCACAGCCGAGCCCGTCCAGAAGTGGAGCTACAGGTCAGTTGCACGGGGTGGGGGGGCCTGGTGACCGGTTGGACCCTAGCTCAGGCGGGGGAGGGGGGAGGAGAACATTTCTCTGGGGGAGCTGGGAGTGGGGAGGAAGAGGGAAGCACTCAGTATGGCAGGATGACATGGTGGACAGAGGGCTGGATTGGAACCAGAGAGACCCGGTTTCTCATTCTCTGACACTCCCTTGCTGTGTGACCCTCGACAAGCCTTGTCACTGCTAAGGGCCTCAGTTTCCCTATCTGTAAAATGGGGGGGATCATACTTCTAGCCCCCATCTCACCGAGTTGTTGTGAGATGATGGATCTAAAGCACTTTGCAAACTCTAAAGTGTCATGTAAATATCCATTATTAACATGTGGACTCTCTTCTAGTGCTAATGATGAGAGCTGATACTGGGCAACCCTTCAGCATCTGCTAAGACCTTTGTGTATATGTGTGTGTGTGTCTCCCCTCATTTGATCCTCACAGCAACTGCCGTAGGTGGGAAGGACACTAATATTGTTTTGGTTTGGACCCACAATTTCATCAGTGAAAGGAATTCTGGGTGTGAAAATACTCATTTCTTTCTTTCTTTCTTTTTTTTTTAGGCAACTGGGGTTAAGTGACTTGCCCAGGGTCACACAGCTATTAAGTGTTATGTGTCTGAGGCCGGATTTGAACTCAGGTCCTCCTGACTTCAGGGCCGGTGCTCTATCCACTGCACCTAGCTGCCCCTTTTTTAAGTATTTTTTTTTTTTAGGCAATTGGGGTTAAGTGACTTGCCCAGGGTCACACAGCTAGTAAGTGTCAAGTGTTTGGTCTGAGGTCAGATTTGAACCCAGGTCCTCCTGACTTCAGGGTCAGTGCTCTATCCAGTGCGCCACCTAGCTGCCCCTGAAAATGCTCATTTCTAATGAAGATCTGAGGCACCAGCAGGTTAAGTGACTTACCCAGGGTCTCACAGCCAGTATGAGACAGGTCTTGACTGCAAGGCACGCTTTCTGTCCTCTGCTCCATGCTGTTTTTGTATGATCATCCCCATTTTACAGGGAAGGAAACTGAGGCATAGGGCTAGGAAGTGATTTTTTAAAGGTCACTTGGTCAGTGAACAACAGGGCCAGGTTTTGAATCTAGACCTTCTTAGGTAGCTTGATATAGAGGATGAGCCAGCCAAGAGGCCTGAGAAGGCACAGTTAGGCAGGGTTGCTCTGCAGCCCTGGGCCTTCATCTTTAACATGTACTGCTTAAAGTCCCTTCCGCATCTAAATATATCACCCCACGATTCCGGCCGCAGAGATCTCTGCGTTATAAGGATGGTGCTTCAGTCCAGAGCCCCGGAGAGGTCCAGGCCATGGAAGGGACTTCAGCGACTGTCTAACCCACCTGCTGTCGTTTTACAGACAAGAGGCCCAGGGTAAAGCTGCCTCTAACTAGGAAGTGTTTCTGGGGCCTCAGAGGCCAGATGCCACAAGATCCAGGTAGGATGGGACCAGTGGCCCCGTGCTCTCAGGCTTCCTGGCTCTCATCTTGTCCAGAGCCCAAGCCCAAGAGGAACCAGAAGATGGAGAGACTGGGCCACCTTTGCAGAGGGCCCCCCTTGTCTCTGCCACCCTCCCCTCTGTTTCCCTCAGTTTCCCCATCTGTAAAATGAGCTAGAGAAAGAAATGGCAAACCACTGCAGTATCTTTGCCAAGAAAACCCCAAATGGGCTGACAAAGTCAGACACAACCCAATGACTTGGTGACAACAAAGCCCAGGCTTGGTGGCAGGCTGTCCCCGCCCTCCAGGAGGCTCTTCTCACCTGGTCAGCCTCGGTTTGGCCTCTACCTGCTGGACCAGCGAACAATTCCAGAATCCAGCTAGCCAGTTTGGACCACGACTTCCTGTTTACTTGCAGGTTAAAGGGAGAGAGAACTGTTGTCCATGTACATAGTCCTGTATTTACCCAACAGAGCTCCATGTCACAGCCATTTCCAGGCAGGGACACAATCACCCTCAGCCCTTGGTGGCCTCTGAAGGTGATTCAGAGTATCCTTACTCAGCGGTCATTCAGTGGGCAACCTCAGGGGCCTGGGATAGGCTGGGCATTGGTTTAAAGCATTAGAATGTTACAGTGAAAATCTAGAATGTTAGAGGATTGACCACGGAACGTCGGAGACAGGAAGATCCTTGAAGCATAGAATGCCAGGGCTAGGAGGGTCCTTAGAGCACAGAATGCCAGGGCTAGGAGGGTCCTTAGAGCACAGAATGCCAGGGCTAGGAGAGACCTTAGAGCACAGAATGCCAGGGCTAGGAGGGACCTTAGAGCACAGAATGGCAGGGCTAGGAGGGACCTTAGAGCACAGAATGGCAGGGCTAGCAGAGACCTTAGGGCACAGAATGGCAGGGCTAGGAGGGTCCTTAGAGCACAGAATGGCAGGACTAGGAGGGACCTTAGAGCACAGAATGGCAGGACTAGGAGGGACCTTAGAGCACAGAATGCCAGGGCTAGGAGAGACCTTAGAGCACAGAATGGCAGGACTAGGAGGGATCTTAGAACATATTTGGAGTTGGGAGAGATCTTAGACCAGAGAAAAGAGAATATCAGAACTGGGGAGAGCCTCAGAACAGAAAATGACTGTGCTGGGAGGGACCTGAGAATGTTCCGGTCCTGATCCTACTACTAACTACTGTGTGTTTTAGGGGGGTGGGGGGAGTCCTTTCTCCTCTCTGAGCCTCAGTTTCCTCACCTGTAAAGGAGGTGGTCACTCTAGGTAGAATCTAAGCTTGAACCTTTTCTGATTCCAGGACCTCCAAGCCCGGGTTCTCAGTGTACAATACCCATTTCCTCGGGTCCTAGATTGAGCAAGGGAAGGAGCCTCAGAGGTCAGAGTGCCCACATTGTCACTGAAGCCCATTGAGTTTCCCTCAGCTCTCAGAGCCGTCACTGGCCTGCGAGCTGGGAAGCAGGATGGGAGGCGAGGCTTCCAAGCAGGCAGGAACCTTAGAAATCATCTGATCCAACCTCCTCATTTTCCAGAGGAAACAACCGAGCTCCAGAAAGCTCAAGACGCCCCTTAAATGGGCACTGAGACCCGAGAGGGGTGGCAGAGCCCACACTAGACACCAGTCCTCCAACTCTTAATCCAGGCTCATTGGTAGCCTTGATAGTCAAAAGATGGACCGAGAGAAGGAAAGGGGGGAATGGGGGAGGGGGTGAAGAAGTTGTATTTGCTATTTTTGTCCTCCCCAGAGGGCCGTGCACACTTTATAAATGAATAGGGGTGAGTCGTTGAATGAATGTTGGAGCAGGAAGGACCTTTAGTGGCCATTTTACAGAGAAGGAAACTGAGGCCCAGGGAGGGGAGTGAGCTGCAGAGGTGGCAAGTAGACAGCTGACAGATTAATTTTATTGAATTACTTCCACCTCTGCTTGTCTTAGTTACAAGGGCTGGCTCTCTGGGTAGGTGGAGGGCGAAAGGACACATCTGGGAATGAAGATGATATAAATGAAAAAAGTTATTTTAAAAAACCCAGATGTTCAAAAAGAGAAGAGAATCATGTTAGCTCTACAGGAAGACCCTTGGAGGGCATCCATCCCCTCCCTTACACTCAGCCCCCTCCCCACCTCCTCCTACAAGTTGCCCCAAGGCCCTCAGTCACCACCTCCCAAGACAGACCAGCCTCTTAGGCTTCCACTAAACTGCCCCTTCTATGACCCGGTCTAGTTGGTCCCTTTGGGGGCCATCCCACTCCCCTTTGAATATCTGAAGACGGCTCACTCACGGTCCCCTGGGGTATTCCCTTCTCCATGCTGAAGATCTAGGGAGGACAGAAGATGGCGGACAGTCACCTCCCACTGACAGAGGCAAGGATTCCAGACATGTGTAACTCTAGGCAGGTTACTTAGCCTCGTCTGCCTCAATGTCCTCATCTGTAAAGTGGGCATAATTATAGCACCCATCACCCAGGTTCATTTTGAGGATAAGATGAGATGGCATTTCTTTGTTTGGTTTTTTTGGGGGGGGGTTAGGCAATGGGGTTAAGTGACTTGCCCAGGGTCACACAGCTAGTAAGTGACAAGTGTTTGGTCTGAGGTCAGATTTGAACTCAGGTCCTCCTGACTTCAGGGTCAGTGCTCTATCCACTGCGCCACCTAGCTGCCCCCATTGAGATGGCATTTGTGAAGCTCTTTGCAATCCTTAAGGTGTCACATCAATGATTGTCATCATTATTGTTGTTATTCTAGAGGTATGTGGCACTTCCCACAATGCTTAGAGTCCAGTAACTTGGAAAAGGCCCAAGGCCTGAACCACAGAGACAAATGCCCTCCTCCAATGGACAGTCCACTTTCTTTAAAAAAAACATTCCCATAAAGAATACTTTGGTACCTAATGTTTTTAGGGGCGTGAAGTCATTGTCTCTCTGGTTCATGCTTTTTTTGCTGACGCGACTGCTCTGAGAAGGTAGCATAAAATGAGAAGTAGGATAAGAGTCATTTGCCCAACGGTCCCTGTGCCCCTTTGAGAAGCGTCTCTGTCCTCGAGGCACCCGGCCCCAGCTCAGGGACCCCGAGTGTCATGGCTGGAATCTAGACTTACAGGCAGGAAGTCCTCTCAAGCACACGCTGGCTGTGGAACCTTGGGCGGGTCACTTCTCTCAGTTTCTCTCGGTGCCTCAGTTTCCTCATCTGCAAAATGGAGAGACAAAGCTAGCACCGACCTCACTGCGTGGCGAGGATCAAATGAAACATGCAGAAAGCGCTTTGTGACCCTTAAAGCGCTGCAGGCACGTGACAAATGCTATGTGACTATGGATCACTGAGCCTTCTTTTTATGTACGCAATGAATTCAGTGTCTAACTGTCGGGGCTGCTCTGCCTGTCTCTTATTCCTTCTGGCTTTCCTTCTGTCTGTTTTCAAAAACTCCCGTCCACAGATCTCTCATTGTTGCTTTGGCTTCCCTGTGCTCAGTCTCTTTTCCCCTCCCTATTAAATGAGAGAGACAGAGAGACTGAGAGACACAGAGAAT